CCCCTATGGAGGTCTTCACATTTACACATACGAAAGACCATGATGGGGTAACATTCATTGATAGACATGCCGAGCTTATTAGAGTAAGCACAATTGAGTTTTTTTTTTCTATTTTTCCATCTAAATTTGAAATTTTTCCACGTTCTAATCCTGTTGTATTCTATATTTATAAGGATAACTGTACTACTGTGAAAGAGTGAGCTATTGCATCTCAGGCTTAGACTGGTGAGCAGCCTATGATCGATGAGTTGTAGCTTTATCTCGAGGCTGCAGGAGGCGAGAAGAAGAGAAAAGTGTACAAGATTGGTTCACAGCCGGATATTTTCTATAGCTACACGCATGGGGTTTCAGCAAGTAGAGCCACACCAGTTGAGCCGGATGCACGTATCGAGGAGATTCAGGATTTATGGGCTCAGCTTCAGGCGCAGCAGCAACAGATATCATAGCTTCTATTACAGCAGCAGCAGCTGATGGATATGTATGCTCAAGACTGACCTACTGTTTTTGCCCCATTTGAGAATCCCTTTGAAACCCCGGAAAAGGACCTCAGAAAACGTCTCTTTTTATTATTTATCGTTTATTTTGGAAAAAGGTGATAAAAATCTTTTTTGGATACGCGATGCCGATAAATCGGTCTTATTTTTATAACGTGATTATAAAATTAATTCAAGGCCTTTATTTTAAAAAAAACTGGCTCAGCGGCGAAGTGAGGTTTGTAGGAATGGGACGCGTCGTTGGGAACCGACGCCGGGAAGAACCGCGCTCTTTTTAACCTACGATTCAAATGGATTAATTTTAGATAAAAAGCAATTATTTAAGAATAAACCAAACCCGAATGAGAACAGTTCCTATGAGGAAAATTAATTAACCACCAACAATTCTCATGCATTCATTATAATTATCATCACATCCCCATTCATCCACATTATAGCAAATAATTACAAGGACCGCTCTGCTTATGTTAAAGGGGCCACAAAGCGAGTTTAATGAATATATTAATGGAAACATAGAATATTAAATCTTAAATCTCACGATCACAATAATTAATTGATTTAGTTTGATTAAGACTTAATTTGCCGTTATTGGTCATTTTCGGGTTTAGATTAAATGTACTTAACATGACATGTAAAATTAAAATGAGATAAACAAAATATTTTGAAATTTAAGGCCAGTCGCGTCACCATCTGTTCTATGAGACAATGGTGACGGAACTTTGTTTTTATTTCAGAATTTTAGAAAGTTGCGCTCACGCGGGTTTCTATGACAAGAACATTTCTTGCTATTTCTTTTCTTTTCTGCGCTGAGGAATCTAGTTATATGTCCAAAAAGAGCGTGGAGATGGCATAGTTGTGTGCACAGCTGTTTCTGACGAAAAGAACGTCGCCTGCGGAATACCTAACTACTGACGAAACTTTCAGTGACCTTATTAATTCTCGGCATGTGATGCATATTTATTCAAAAAAATATTAGAAGTACAAATAATATAGACAAATGTATAAATACCACAACAGCCTGAGCGCACCGGGATGGTCTCAGTCTGACAGGTCTAAGGCTTTTGCTTTTTTTTTTTTGGTTGGACAGTGAACAGTCGCGTCACGCAGTAATAGCTGCGTGGACGCGGCCTG